GCGAGGGGGGGCGGGTCGGGGTGAGGGCGGGGTAAAAAAATAAAAAAATTGAAGTTGAAAAATATCTTTTTAAAAATAAGCTTTAAATTTAATTTTCAATCAAAATTGTAATTTGAAGTTGGAGGAAAGTTTTGAAAAATGAGTTGATTTGGAAAATATTTTTCCAAAACATTTTACCCAACCAAACATGAGAAAATTGGAAAATATTTTCCGAAAAATGTTGTCCTTCATACCAAACAAACCCTAAGAGTTTGGGGTTCTAAATTTCGTTAATAACCGTCAATCAATTTTGTTAGGGGTTCACAAATTAATATACATTTAAATTTAATTAATTTTCTAGTACAAATATAAAATCTACGAAAAAATGTCTAGGTTCATCCGAACCCATGAACCCCACGTCCTAGCTACGCCCGCCTCCGCAAACAAGTTACGTGTCTCATTATTTTGTTTTGTTTCGATAGTAACACTTAGCATTATGCATGTATTTGGATTCCTTGGTTGTTCAAAGCTCTTACCATATCTAATAAGTAAACTACAAAATCAACATGCCTTTTTTATTTCCCTCCGAAGAAATTACGCGTTTCCTGCTCTGACATTCACGTCCGGCTACAATGACCTTATTCAGAAAATTTAATTAATTTCTTTTTGACCAATTCAGCAATGTTTAAGTGGTTGTATAAAAGGATGTGAAAAATATTGAAGGTGATGATCATTTAAAATTGTTGTCACTAAGGAAATAAGAAATTAAAACTAAGCGCGAATCGATCGACCGATCAATTGAATGGCTACGTCTAAACGTATAATAATCAACTCAATTGTTGTGCTGAGAATACTTACTCTATCGGCGTGCGCAGCTGCAGGTGCGCTTATTGTTACCAACAACTTCAAACTTGATGGTGACAAAACCAAATTCAGTGACATTAGAGGCTACAGGTGATGAGAAAAAAAAAACAAGAAGATTAAAAGTATATATATAAGAAATTTTCTGTTATTTTGGTAATTAAATCTGTAAAATTGCTAATAATTTAATTGCATTATAAGTACAGGTATGTGTTAGCAGCGGCAGCAGGGGGAGTGCTGTATTCATTAATTCAGTTGCCTTTCGCGTTGTATCAAGCCGTTAAAGGGAAGAGGTTGATCAATGGCCAGTTTCTCCCTATGTTTGATTTTTACGGAGATAAGGTTTTTTTCTCGTCTTTTAATACTGTTAAGCCAAAATAGTTTTTACTATAGTACTTTTATTTTTACTCTGAAATAACAAAAATAACTTAAGATTTACGTATAAGTCATAAGTTTTAAGTCCATCCAAATATACTTTTAATGTACTTCCTCAGTTTCCATTTGTAAGAGATATAAAACACTCCAATCGTGAATCTCACTAGCTTGCTTACATATGTTTTACATATATAAACACCAAAATCAATTTATTAAACCATTTATTATAAGGCTTTCACAATAATATAGTACAAAATCAATTGACCCATATTAGGACGCATTTTATACTATGGTTTCCATTTTCATGTGTTACTAACTAATTTATTTCACCAAATAGGCTCCCTTCTTTTGTAAAACGTGTAAACAATAAACATCCTAACGGAGCTTCCGATATTAGAAGTTTGTCATTTATAATTTTAACAAGAGCGACTGTAGAGTCTCATTTAATTTATAAGTTCAAGTAAATTCAATAACGGTTATTCTAATCCTGTTTATATATTAAAATAATTATATTACATATGGAGAAATATTTAATTCTGAATCCAATTATCATTATTTAGTAATATGAGGTTGCCCATACACTTTTAATTCTGAATCCACTTATGATTTTTCTAAGCCAAAAAAACAAACGATATAGGTGTCCCTCGATCTTCCTCGATATTTTTTTTATCTTTTATGTATAAATATTGATTTTGAATCCTGTGAACACAAAGACTAGAGGTTGACTCATCTCGAGAAATTTGCAGGTGATAGCATTTTTCTTGGCAAGTGGAGTTGGCGTGGGATTTGGTGTGAGTATTGAACTCAAACTATTGATAGACCAATTATTGGATGTCTTGGATGAATTTGGGGACAAAGCCAAAAAATTTGTAGACAGAGGAACTATTGCCAGTGGAGTACTCCTTGTTGGTTTTGTTACCATGGCTATACTTACCATTCTTACTTCTGCCAACCGCAATGGAAGAGCCTTTTAATTTAAACCTCATTAGATGAGAAATAAAATTGAACTTTATTTTTAATTATTGTCATCTTTTTTCTATAATCATATTATATATTATTTTGATCATGTGTAATACATGCATGTTTGTGAACGCACCATTGTTTTTGGGTTGAATTTGTATTTTGTAGGTACTATTTTTTACAAATATTTTAGTGTGAAGTTTTGACCACTGCGTAAAATTCATTTAAGATAACTAATTAAGGCACCCAAAGGGTGAAGAGACCTCAAGCATTTCGTCACGATCCTTGGTAGTAAAAAAATTGGCACGTAATATTTACACTAAACCATGCAAAATGCATATCTTTCGTGAATTCAATTATCCCTTATATAGTTAATTAGTTACACCATGGCCAAGTGATATATTATTTCACTTTAAATTGTAAACACCAAGGTTATATTTTTTGATTGATGTAAACATGGTTGTTTTTTGATTGAGGTTAACATCAGGTGTTTAGAATGAAAAAAAAAAAAACTTTTTTAAAAAAAGTTAAAACTATGGAAAGGACTCCAAATGAATAAAAAAAAGGAAAATTGCGTATGAACACAGATTGTAGTGCACAGATCTCCCGGGAGAAGATGAACACTCAACACGCTAGCGATGGAGAGAAAGAGGGGCAACGACGATAGGGGGAGAGAGATCCAAAGCAAATTATATGCCTAAAAAAGAAAGGAATACCGGATACATGTTTCTGCTATAAAATCTTAAACTATAACTATAAAAGATAATTAGAGGATTGTGTTAGCTAAGCCGCGTCTTTTTTCCAAGACATATATACCTCAGTCCAGTAAGGTAATATAGGCCCAATTCCCCCACTTGGGTTTGATGGATGACTCGACATGAAAAGATATGAGGATCAGTCCAATTCTAGTGTCGATCGCCTTTTAATTTGGTACCATAACATCCTTCCTTTAGTTTTCAGAGAAATTTGTTATAACATGTGATATCATGACCGCAAACAATTTTGAATCTATGGAGTATGGATTATAATTCTTTTTTATTTTTTTTAACCACTCCCTAGGAGCTCTCATCCTTTTACTTCCTTGCTAACACAAACTCGTAACCTTCGAATTGGGAGTGACTCCCTCTAGTCATATGGATTATAATAACTCTAGTGAAACTCTAAATTTTGTTTGAATAGCATTTGAGAAACCTGTTGAGGCCTACTAAATCATAAAAATTTTGTAGTTGGAGAGTCCGAGACTATTCATTTGGTTAGCTTGTCTTAAAAAAAATGCTAAGAGTTTATAGCCAATTCATAAAAAAAGGACTACTCTATTTATAGTTTAAATTGTAGTTAATTTACCACCATCTAGGATAAGACATAACATAACATAAATATTAGTATAAGTAAATCACCTAGCTAGGTGGGGAAAAATCATATAAAATTTAAAGAGTACTACTAAATAAAGAGAGAATATGAAATGTCAGTAGTAAAATAAACATTTCCTAAGATAGAAGAGGAAATATATCAATCGTTCAAAGTCAAAGTAATTTCATATTAAAGCAAAGTTACAAATTTATAAATTGTAATTATCATACCAAATATATACATTTTTTTTTCTTGTTGGCAGATTTGCTTAAATTGGAAAAAGATTGTTTATTTCATGCTCTGACATTCTCGTCCGGCTACAATGTCCTTAAATTACACAAATTTTTTTAGCCCTTTTGACAAACGCTACGACGTTTGTTAAGTGCTGTAATTATTAGTGTGTATATATATATATATTATAAAGGATTGTTCTCTACTATTGAAAATATACAAGGTGAGAATTAAAAATTAATACTCCGTTGTCAAGGAAAGAAGAAATATAAGTGAAAAAAATGGGAAAGTACAATCATCTCTATTGTTGTTTTGAGGATACTGACTCTCTTGACGTGCAAAGCTGCCATTGCACTTATAGTTTTCAACAAATTCATACTTCAAAATGGCCAGGAAACCAATTTCTCTAGCATCAGAGGCTACTGGTTATGACTCGATCCTCTGTTTTCTACTATATATTTTTCCAGTGAGTTGATCTGATAGAAATTTAGTGAAAAAATCATGTTTCATAACACAAATTTCTCACTAGAATCTTTTTCTTTACTTATCGTGACTATAACAGATAAACCAAATCTAAAATTACATATTCTTCTATGATTTGATGATACGTTTCTTATGCACCAATTTGGACTATATGTGCAGTCCAAATTGGGCAGCTTTAGATTGAACTAACTTATTAGGCTTTCTGCCTAAAACGAATACATTGTCTTCTTGTTTGTTGTGGTAAATTTGATATCTGAACTTGGCTTCAATAATTTATGTGTCACGTCAGCGTCAGATTTCTATGATAGTGAAGACGAATCGAGGTGTTTAGATGTACATTCTCAAAGTTGAAGTATTTACTTATTTGTTGAGGTCAAATTAAAATGTTTATCTATATATTATGCCTTTCATAAAATTACCAATATTTATGACTCAATATCATGATTTTTTTTTTTAAAAAAAAAATCTCATAATTACAGGTATGTGTTAGCTGTCGCTGCAGGGGAAATTCTTACTCATTGATTCAGCTGCCTTTCGCACTGTATCAAGCCATTAAAGGGAAGAGGTTCATCAGTGGCCAATTTCTACCTATGTTCGATTTTTACGGAGATAAGGTTAATTTTCTTCTCTTATTAAAAAAAAATGCCACTATTTATTTAATACTTGTAAATAATTACTGTAAGTATTCTCTCCGTTTCAATTTATATAATATTGTTTAGCTTAACACAGAGTGTAAGAAAAACAATAAGACTTCTAAAATTTGTGTTCTAAAATCAACCTAAGACATTTGTTTAGCTATAAATAATTTTATTATGGATACAAGAAAATTTTTTAAGTCAAATTATTTCTGATAATAAAAGTATATAGAACACCAAAGTTCATAGATGAAATAATAAGTCAACAAATCTTTTAAGCTATAGTGTCAGCCACCTGATACATGCTACCTTCGACCAGCATACATACTGAGTGATGACTCCGTAAATTAATTAGTTTTTGGTTTAACGTGTGAAATTTTGAACCAAATTGGCAGGTGATGGCGTTTTTATTGGCTAGTGGAGTTGGCGTCAGTGTTGAATTTAAAAACTTTGTAGACGAATCGATAGACATAAATGAAGTACGTATAGAATTTAGGGAGAAGGGTGACAAGTTTTTTGACAATGCAATTATTGCCAGTGGAATCCTTCTTGCTGGTTTTACTACCATGGCTATAATCACTATTCTTAATACTGCGAAATGCACCGGAAAAAGCTTTTAGTACGAGACTAATTATATAGCTTGATTGGTCAAACTTCGAAAATCAACTTAATTGACCAAGTCAAGACCGTTTGTACAATGCAATCTTTCATTACAATCGTTTTTATTTTGAGATGCAATAATGTTGTGTACGATACTTGATTCTATTCATTTTGTTAAAATACTTTTTGAGTTTTGTACAATGCCTCACTGGGCCTATTTTCTGTTGGCACATGGACCGTGATTTATCTAGTACTGGGCCGTTGAGGATATAGGCCCAATTCTTCACTACTGTTTAAAGAACAAACCTGCTCATAAAAAAGATAAGAGGATATAACACAAAGCACACTATTATTTTTCCAAACAATATTTTTCTATACATGTATATGACAGAACAGATATATGTACCTTAGATACACGCTAGTCAAATTAGGTGTAACTTGTTCTAGAAACACTATATTTAAGTGTGATTCGTATTTACCTGGAATACACTGATTCTCTTGATCACCTCTCTCCTCTCGCGTCCCTAGCCTTCTCTGCATTTGTATTTTACAATGTCTTTGAGTTTCACAATTTCATATATATATGTATTCAAAATCAATTTCATGCATTTGTGTATCCAATTTTAAGTACATCCACCGTTCATTTTTACTTGTTCACTTTGGACTTTGCACACCCCTTAAAAACAATGATTGATGTGTGTATTTTATCATAGTACCCTATTAATTGATGTTTAGTATTATGTCTTGAAAAATGATTCGGGAATAAGAAGTAATTAATGCAAAGGGTAAAACTTGAAAAAAAAGAAGGTAATTATTTCTTCTTGATATGTTAAAAGTGACAAATAAAAATATCTTTTTAAAATAGTGGACAAATAAAAACGTACGGAGGAAAGTTGATATTATCTTCCTAATGTCACACTTAATTATATATATCCATTATTAAAATTCTAACTAAACATCTAATGATCTAAACTGGAGTGTTTTGTTTTGGTGTAAAAGTCAACTAGCAGGTAATTTAGACCAGCTTGGAGCAAAAAAGCAGACTCAAATACGCCATTACGAAGTGTATATATAAAGTTGTATATCGTGTATATATACTATATGTCACACAATTAAATTAGTAGTGTATATCATATGAATAAAATACTTATCATAAATTCACCTATCTCATTCGTAATAATTAGATGTGCGTGTACATATATATATATATATATATATATATATATATATATATATTATTAT